TATAGCCCAACTTACAAAGGCATTTTCTTCATTGAGGTTACCTCCTCTCAAATGACTTTAGCTTATTCAAGGTGACATAAAACTAGCCAGCACATCCTTCAAGTGCCCACAATAGCACCACATGATTGGAACACTCAATGGCTTTTCTAATCCAAAGTTCCAAAATCCTTTCACAATCCTTCCAAAAATATATAATTAGGTCTGTAACAGCAATTCCCTATGACCTGGTACGAACTTATGTCTTAATTGTACTTCCTATTGCTTTGCTAAAATACCGTGAGCAAAACCAACTTGAGGAGCAAAGGGTTTATTTCTGCTTCCAGTTCCATGTCACAGTCTACTGCTGAGAGAAGTTAAGGCAGGAACTCAAACAGGGCAGGAACCTGAAAGTAGAAGATGATGAATAGGGCATGGAGTAATAATAGCTTGATCCTCATGACTTGCTCAGCCTGCTTTCTTATAGAACCCAGGACCACCAGCCCCGGGATGGTAGCACCCATAGTAAAGTGGACCCTCCTGCATCAATCACAAATCAAAAAAGCACATAACAGACTGATCTTATGGGAACTTTTCCTCAATGTATGTTTTCTCTTCCAAATGACTCTCTCCTATGTCAACTTGATATAAAACTATCCAGCAAATCTACTCTAAGAATGAACCTACTTCATCCAAAAAGTAATGTCTTTAAACAGAAAATAGAGGTGCCTCTTAATTATCTGGAATGATTAAAAGGAACTGAGAGAATTAATATCCAGGTTTATTCTCATCTTGCTCTCTCATCTTCTGCCAGGGCCTCCCACTGGCTGGCCCTACAAAACTAGATCACACACTGCTAATGGATAAAATTGAAACAGGTCAGCCATCCTCTCTTAGATATCTTAGTAAGATGAAAAACAGAGAGTAGTCCTACAAACTCAGAGAGAGGCAAGCCAGCACACTGAACGAGGCTGAAAGTTTGTCACCTCAAAGAGAATGCATATTTAAATGAAAGAACAAATACCAAACTTATACATAACCCACACATAGCATGAACATATTTTAAATTCAGTGGCCATCCTTTTGTTTTTCTAAGATAGTGATATTCACAATGTCAGAACAGTGAGGAATTGAAAGCTGCAAATTTTTCTATTTCAGAATATAGTGGTGTCAGTACGAGATACATCTTATTAATGTTCACCCAAGAAGGAGCTGCCATAAAACTTATCTATGGCCTTTGTGCCTCAAATACTCCCTGTATTAGAATATACATAGTTGTATTAAAGCTATCTTATATCTAGAAGCCAGTCCCGGATACTCAGTATACTTCCAGTACCCACAGATCCCAACTCTCCTTCTAGAGGTATGATTCAAGTACCATAAAAATCCAGGTGAAGGGATTAGTCATGCTGACCCCCAAAACTCAATGTCTAACTCCTTCCTCCCAGGATGAATTTCACCTAGATCACAAATCACAGTCTTTCTGGTCCCTATGTGCACTTGTCACGTTCCCACTTCTCATCCCTCTGACTATCTTCTTTCTACGTCAAGAAGCTTTCACCTCTTCTTTGGTTCTCAAGTGGCTCTGGTTATGTGTAGTTCCTTACTGGTCACCCCTAATTCAATGCCATCCTCAGTGTGTACCAGCATCCTTTCAACAGTGACTACAGCCTTCTGCCTTTGAGTTATCTCAACATGGCCTGCTTTCTAACCATTTGCCTCCCCTGTTGGTTGCCACTGCCATCTTGCATCCCCAACTTGCCCCTACCTCCTTTTTCTCAGACCTGTTATAAATCTACACTTTACACCACCTTGATGTCTGTGCCTTTAGGTCTCAAAGAGTTTTCTGGAATCATATTTCTGATGAACACCCTATAAAAGTGTTGCATTTACTAAGTAAACTTTTGTGGACTCTGTGATCCTAATGGAACAGGTATGAGGATTGGCAGTGTTAAGCTATAACTGAAGGATTGAAATTAAAATCATGATTCTTATATAAATATAAACTGTGTACAGGGAAAAGATTAAGTATTGTGGAAATTTGTATGATATTACACATGTGGTCTGGATTTAGTGACACATGCCTGTAATCCCAGGTATCAAAGGGGCTGAAGAAAAGTTTCATGAGGTCAGGGACAGTTTGAACAATGTAATGAGAAATTGCCAAATAACATAAATGTTGTTACAAAAATTGCTCAAAAATGCTCTCAAAGAGTTTGTGTATAGGCAATATGGAATGTTGAAATGAATGTTCAAATAGAATAAATACAAAATGATTCAAGAATTAATTGCATTTCACTAGACAAATCATTTGCATTTCTGTGGACAACATTCATTTGCATTATTAGTTTTTCAATTTACAGTTAAAAGATATCTTGAAGTCAATGAGAAGTGGAGATACTCAGAAAGTTATTTTAAAAAGGACACACAGTAAACATTTTTTGATTATTTTTTAAATCTCTCACCATTTTTCGCAGAAAGTCAGAGGCATGTTCTTATCCCAATAGGAACTGCCATCCAGTCATAATTAGCACAAGTTTTCTCTGTGATCTTGGAATAGGCATTTCTGCTTGTGATGACCAATACATGTGTCTTCCTTGTCTCTAAACCTTGATAAGAGATGGCTGCCTCCTTCCTTTTAGAGAGTTGATACTCAGAAGTCTGGTATTACTTGAAATTTTACTTACAAAATTGGCCCCTGACTAAAATTTAAACAAATATAAAGGATCCAGGACCTAAGTTAGTTAAAATATATCTGTATTTATGCATCAAAATGTTAATATAATAATATCAGTATTATTTGTAAGTAAAATTTTACCCATACATATATCACCAAGAGAACTGGAAATATACATCTTTACAAAACTTGTACATAAATACTTATAACAGCATTAGTCATGACAGTCATAAAATTAAAACAACCTAGATTTCTATGAACATAAAAAGTATTGATAAAAGGCAGTCCGGTCCTACAACAGAACATTCTTCAGCAATGATAAAGAGATAGAGGTTAAAGTCAAGTGAAAGAAATGTACACAAAAGCTATATACAGTGTGATTCTATTTATTTAAAACAGTCACATGATAGCCCAACTAGCTCAGTTGGTAGAGCATGAGACTCTTATTCAAAATAGTCATAACAAGCACATCTATAGAAACAAAAAAGATTAGTGGTTGTAAACCTATAGAAGAGGCAAAATGGGCAGTGCCTATTCATGGAAATGGTTCCTAATTTCAGACTGATTGAAACATTCCATTAATTGCTGCCATTCTGATTGGAGTAAAATGGAATTTCAAAAAAAAACAAATAACAAACACGACAAGGATGTGGACAAAAGAGAATGTAAAGTAGTCTAGCTACTTGAAAGCCACTATGGAGATAACAAAACCACGAAAAAGTACTCCAATGACCTAGTTATACTACTTTGGGGTAATTTACCTGAAGGACTCTAAGTCATCACATCACAGAGATACTTGCATTTCAATGTTTATTGTGGCAGAATTCACAATAGTCAGGTTAGGGAATCATTCCAGGTATCCAGTAACAAAGGAATGGATAAAGAAACAAAGTATTTTTCAGCCATAAAGATTAATGAAGTATTGTTCTTAGGAAAATAGGTACAGCTGGGGAAGCGAATTGAGCCAGGCTCGGGAAAATGAATATGGTACATTTTCTCTTGTTTGTCGTAGCTATGTTTTATAGCCACACATGAAAGTAGAGTAGGGGCTGAGCAGGAAAGGGGAACAAAGGTGACTAACAGGAGAGGGACAGACGGGGAGGGAGAGTCAGGACGTGGTAGAAGAATATGCTCTATGTACAGTGTATAATTGTATGACCTATTTTTAAATAATTAAAATTGTTATATAAATTATGCATTTTACAAATTTTAGTTTGATGATGATTACAAAATACAAAGAATATAGCATCCCAGGATTGTCTTGAAACAAATTCCTATGCTTCAGTCTCTTAAATGCTGGGATTATAAGGCATGCAACTCCATGCTGGACTCTACAGCATTTCATTGTTGTTGCTGGATTTGTCTTATGATTTCAAAGATTTATTTTTAATTTTTTAAAGTATGTGTTTGTGTAGGGGGTGGGATGTGGGGGTATTTGCACTAGACAGCAGGAGCCTTCAGTGGACAGAAGTATCAAATGCCTCTGACGCTGGAGTTACAGATGGTTGTGAGCTGCCTGACTCACATGCTTGGAGCCAAACTCAGGTCCTCTGCAAGAGAAGTATATGTTCTTAATAGCTGAGCCATGTCTTTAGCCCACGAATTTGATTTTCTTTTTATTATTTTATTTTGTTATTGTGTGTATGTGTGTGCTGGCTGGGGCATGGCACTGCCCAAGTCAAGGCACAGGGCAAATTTTGAGAATCATTTCTCTCCTTCTACAAGTTCTGGGGATGGAACTCCATGCTCTTAATTTTTTAGAAATATCTGGTGTGTCAGCATTGGCAATGATACACAGCCACTTACTTGCTCTTGACCTCTCCCTAAGAAAGGCAGATGCAGGCAGATCTATGAGTTTGAGGCAAGTCTGATTTACAGAGCAAGTTCCAGGACAGTCAGGGGGCTGTTACACAAGGAAACCCTGTCTCAAAAAACCAAAAAAAAATGGAGAAGAAGAAGAAGAAAAGAGATAGAAAGAAAGAAAGAAAAGAAAAGAGAGGAGAGAGACAGAGAGAGAGAGAGAGAGAGAGAGAGAGAGAGAGAGAGAGAGAGAGAGAAAGTTTTTAGTATAGCCATCGTCACCGGTTAAGGTGACTAATTCTTTAAGATATGAGATAATGGCGTCACATACGAAAAGAACTACTTTAATGAAACAGTCACGATTAGGGGATGTTCAAATACTTTTCCTTAAAATTAACTATCCACACAATTTAAAAAACTTGGCTGTTTATTCAGAATTTAAACGATAGTATATCTTTAAGAGGGTCAGCCAGCGCAATGCCTTCTGGGTTACTGTGGAACAGCTTTGTTCCTTGACCTTTGACACCGGCGGCTCAACAGCCTGAGGCACCGGCCGCCATTGCTGTCTCCATCTCTGTCTTCAGGGCACTGGTTTGGGCGGTTGCCGCTTCTGGTCCTGCGTCAGAGCCTGACCAGAGCCCGAAGCTGGTCCTGTCTGGTTTCACAGCTCCTCCTCCCTTTCCTGAAGTGACTGTGAGGCTCCGGCAGGCAGTCACTTTCGCCAGCTCCACAGCTCGGAGTCAGGTACTCCCTTCTAGCTCCGGCTGACAGCGTGAGAACCCTTGCCGCCATGGCCTCTCCTCTTGCCGAGATCATCCAGCAGAATTACCTGTCTGAGAGCAACGCTGCCCTCAACTCTCAGATCCAGTTGCAGCTGTACGCCACTTACGTCTACCTCTCCATGGCCTTCTTCTGCAACCGAGACGAAGTGGCCCTGGAGTACTTTGCACTCTTCTTCCTGACTATGTCCCAGAGGTGGATGGAGCGCACCGAAAGGCTGTTCCTGTTGCTGAGTGAGCGCCATGGCTTCCTTACCCTTGGGAGAATTGCCGATGAAGGTCGTCACGACTGGATCGATGGCTTCATGGCGATGGAGTGTGCTTTCCACCTAGAGAAGACGCTCAACCAGAGTCTCCTGCAGCTGTACGATCTGGCTAACAGCAACGGTGATATCTGCCTGTGCAAGATCCTGAAGCGCCATTTCCTCCACCAGCAGGTCGAAATCATCAAGGAGATGGGTGGCTACCTGACCAACCTGCGCCAGCTGGGGGCTCCAGAAAATCATTTGGCTGAGCACCTCTTCGACAAGCTCACCCTGGCCGAGACCACCAAGGAGAACTGAACTGGGACTGTCCCTACTATGGTGGGGTCTTCCTCAGATCACCGGGCAAGGGGCTCACGTTATATGTCCAGAAGTTTCCCTAGTTTTCCTATCTGGCCTGTTTGCAATAAATTTCTTTCTGAGCACATTGCTACCTGTTGATTCATATGTGTCAAATTCTCACCTTTAAAGAATGAAGACATTCCCTTGCATGTCTAAAACGGGTATCTGGGTGTCTCTTCACACACCCAAGTCGGGTTTCCTTGCAGCTAAGAGCTCAAGTAGGTGGAAGGGAAAGGCTATTCACAAGCCCTGGGGGGAGAACAAATTAGCTTTTTCTTACAGTGTGAGCTTGGGGGCGGGGTGGGAGTGAAGTGTGGGTGAGGTGAAGTGAAGTGGTCGGCCTGTAGCCGCGGTGTTCGAGCATGGGCGGTGTTCGAGCATGGGAAAAGTGTAGATGCGGGTGGGGTGGGGGGGGGTGGGGGGGGGGGGGGAGGAACGGGTAGCAGATATCCTGCTAAACACGAGAGTTGCCAATCATATATCCTGCTAAACACGGGGCGCGGAGGGGGGGCTGGCGGATCCGCACCCCCGTGTTTAGCGGGGGTGCGGATCAGATATCCTGCATATCAGATATTTACATTAAGATTTTAACAGAAGCAGAATTCCAGTTATGAAGAAGCAACAAAAATCATGTTATGGTGGGGGGGGACAACACTACAATGGGAGGAAGTTTATTAAAGTGTTGCAACATTATGACGGTTGAGAACCACTGGATTAAAATGAAATGAACTTTACCTAAAGCCCATTAACTTACTAAAAGATGGAAAACATTAGCATTTGCTGATGCCAGGTAAGACAGTGCGACCACCTAAAAGACAGCAGAACACTTAGGACATGCTTACCCTGGGAAACAATAATAATAGGTAAGCAAAGCCAAAATGACTGTTTTTTTATAGCCCCAAGGTTAAACTGAAGTAACAGTGGAACTTTGCAGGTCCAAGATTGTTCATTCATACTATTACTATATTTCCATAAGAATCTCAGGAAATAGGAAGGGTAGGAATTTAAAGGGGGGCTACAAGGGGAGTTAGAGACTTGGGACAGGAACGTAGTTCTGATCCCCAGAACCACACTAGGAACATAGTTCTGATCCAGTGTGGTCTCTCCTACTGAGGGTATCAATGAGCTAGGAAGCAGGGCGTGGGTAGACTGGGAATTCAGCCAGATAACCAGGCCCAGAAGGGAGGGAAATTCCCCAAACTGGTGAAGACAGCCCTGATCACCGTAGCCTTTCCCTTAATTACAGGTATGCCTTCCAGCCTAGGGTAGAGATGGCTTCAAAATGTCAGCCAAAATCCTCATATGATGAAAGCCTTCAGAATTAGAAAGAGACTTGTGAGAGGCAGTAAGTAAGGTACCACCCAGACAGGTAGTTCAGTTCTCTGTTCAGGCTTTCTCCCCCGTGCAGACCCTAACCTGATTGCTCTGGCCGCCAGGGAAGATAAGGGGGTTTGAAATCCCCAGAATGAACTAGTACCCAGATTTCTGCATTGAGAGTAGCTTCCTTTTAAGCACAGTAAGTAAAGGGTGGCTACAAAACACACATTGGCTTTACCTGCAGTTCCAGCTCATTTCAAAGCCTGGGGGGCGGGGGGGGGGGGAGCAGCTTGCATGCTTGCTGGACACAGCGCACTGGAATTGGGCACTAAATCATTTTCTGTGGTAGTCCATTCATGGGACCATCTGTAGCTCACCCCAAACTTGCTCTGTGTTGGTTGACACACCTCCCTCTTTGTCCCGTCTGTCTCTTTTCTTGTGACTGACTTTGCAGGGAAATGAAGATACACCAATTAAGACCTATGTCTAGGCTTTGATTTTACCTGGAAAAGTGGTATTTCCTCATCTGCGAAACTCAAAGGCTAACAATGATTAGACCTGAGTGCCCATTACAAGCCGCTGTTGCTCAGATCACGTTTTACAGCCTTTCTTTAAAAAAAAAAAAAATCTTGGCACAACAGCAACCACTCAATGGTTTCTTTTTTTAAAAAAATATACAGTTCAGTTTTAGTTGTGTGTGTATGAGAGAGAGAGACAGAGAGAGAAACAGAGAGGGGCTGTGAGAGGGAGAGATCCTGGGCTTTCACAAAAGCCAGCAAACAGCCTCAGCTCCTCTGAAGCTGGATGAACAGATAGTTGTGTGATAACAGGCCTGGGCCCGGCAGCCAACGGATGGATCCTCTGCATGAGCAGAGTGTGCTCTTCACCCACTGAGCTGTCTCCAGATTCCAGCCCCACTGATTTTATCTTTGTTTTGCTGAGAGTAAAACATGCATGGTCTAAGTCCCTGCCCTTTGGCTCAGTTTTGGTAGTCACAAACAGGCTCTGGAATCTGCAAGACAGTTATGACAATGGATAGGAAATGTTTAGCCTTTTGAAAGATGCTCCCCTTTGACTTTCTAATGTCCAGACTTTGGCCTTTCCTAAAAGTTCCCAGATTTTCCCCTCTTGCGACACAACGGACGGAAAGGTGGAGGTAAACTTCTTCTGCGTATGCCACCTTCTCCGTTCCTGGATAAGTGCACTTTAAATACGTAATAGTAAGATATGACTAGTTCTTTGAGCCCCGGCACGTAGCACCCTGAGACACACAGCTGCATGATTGCCAGTCACTGGCCATGCCCTGCTGCTTGGATGAATGATGTCTGAAACAGTGGCTGTTGCTATGGGTACCAGGATCTCAGGCAATGATAATAGCTGGACAGACTAGGGGGAAATGGTAAAATTGATAACTTCATCTCTGGCTCAAACACGGATTCAAATGAACTGTGCTGAATAATTTACCTATACGGGGAAAAATCATCCCTGTATCACAGAAGGAAATTTCCTAATAGATGGTTGTCACCAACAATTTGTGCTTCATTTTCTAGGAAAAGGAAATGTATTTTTCTTCATAAATGTGTGACAAGCAGTACAAAGCGGCCTTTCATTTCTCCGAAACTTTTCCTTGTCTAGAAATTTGCCTTACATTTCTGATTTGTATATTATACTTTATTTTTGTATCAGTTTCCAGCGATTCTAGTTTATTTTCACAAGTCCAAGAAATATAACTAATCAACGGTCAGTAGAGGAAGGCCTTATAAGTCATATATATATATATATTGATATATAACATATGCATATATTGATATATGATAAATTAAAGGGAAAGCAAATATAATGCTTCATATTTTAGAATTATATTTTATACAAAGTGTGTGTGTGCGCGCACACTTTGAGTTCAGCATCAGAGGCATATTGATGAATTTGTTTCAGAAAACCTGGAGTAAAGGGCATGGCTTAGAAAATTATATTAGAAAATATTACTTAGAAAGGTTAAGATGAAGTTTATATCTGATTGACTTGTGGAAAGGGAGCAAGGGATCAGGGTGAGGTATGCACGGAAGGAAAGTGGTAATTACAACATAGTCTTAAAAGCCTTGCCTCAACTGAAGTCAGTTTAGGTTATGAGTTGTAACAAAAGCCAGAAAAACAGGTTTGAAAAGTACAGGTTTCTCTGCCATAGTGGAAAATGACAGAAGGAAACCAGTTCAGGGCTGCTATGCGACTTCCTGTCACATTTCACTGACTCCAAGAGGCACGGTTTTCTTCATATTTTCACATCTTTGAAATAGGGACGTTTAGTGTCCTACCATCGCTGTTGGCTGTGGTCGGCATTGCCTGAGCATGTACTTCAAACTTAACTCTGGCCTTATCGACTGAAAATCCTGAGAGCTATTGAGGAAAACTCTTAAGAAACCGCAGTATGCTGGGTGGCGGAAATGAAGGTATGCAGGGTCCCACACGACTCTGAGTACAAAAACTGGTTTAAAACATTTGTGCCTGAAGAACTTTTAATAGTACTTCGTACCATTTCTTACACATTTTATTTAGTCTAGTTGTACTTTACAGTATATTTATGTCTCTCCTATGGGTGTGTAAAATGATATAATGATAAACATTAATGCCAAATAAGTGTAAAGAGCTCTTTCAGAAGGCATAATTTAAAAAAAATCATAAGAAATGCATGAGCTAAGACAACATTGTGTTCTAATTTAATTGGTGACCTAGCTTAGGATTTCCTCACACATAAAGTGATGGTATGTATTTAAAAATCACCTTGCTTTCTTTGATAACAAACATGCCTCTTCCACTGCTGAGGGCTTCCAGCTTAAAGTTATTTCATGGTCCAACATAGCTACTGTAAGTCCAAAAATCACATTATTGTTGAGAAATGATTGGGACATTTGTTAGGAGGAAGAGAAAGATTGGAAGTCCAGATACAGTGAACGGAAGATTGAACTTTGAGTTAAAATCGTGGCGGAGGGGTACTGATTGCTATCTGTTGCTATTCAGGAGAATGCTGCAACAAGAGCATTTCTTTTCTCTTCAAACCAGAGGATCTAAGAGAAGCTCCCAGAACAGAGTCATGGTAATATGTGTCTTAGTTCAAAGTAAGGGCATTTTTTGAGTAAACTTTTAATTTTAGAATAATTATAACTGTGAAGTTCATAAATGTAAATTTATCCTTTTTAGCTTTTTCTCTTTTTCTTTTGTATTATGATGTTTGTGTGTGTTCACATGTATAGTTGCATGTATCTGTGTATGTTTATAGAGGCCAGAGTTCAACGTCTGGTGTAATCCTCTATTTTCTATTTTCTATTTTTTTCTCTCTCTCTCCTCTTTCTATCTCTGTTTGTCTGTCTGTCTTCTTTCTTTCTTTCTTTTTAAACGTTTTTAATCTCTTTAAAAACATAACTGCATAATTTTTCTTCTTTTCTTTCCTCCCACCAACCCCTTCCATATACCTCACTGGTTTGTTTCAAATTCATAACTTCTATTTCTTTAATTGTTGTCACGTGTGTGTGTTCCAAAATAAATAAATACAACCTGCTTTGTCTGAATGTTATTGCATTATATAATTTCAGGGATGACTACTCACTATTGGATATCCTATTAGGGGGATGTCTTCCTCTGGCTCTCAGCATTCTTTAGTTGCCCATGATTCTTCATCTAGGGTTGAGGCACTGTGAGAGTTCCCCTTTCCATATTAGCATGTCTATTGGCTAGCTTTTCTTGAAACAGGATCTGTTACTCAACCTGTAACTC